ATAGATACATATACATACATATATATATATATATACATTCATAGCCACATTGTATGTAAATAGAGAGCTTTTGTGTGGAAAAGCTAGGTACGGTGTTTGCCCGACCTAAACCCCTTAACCCTAGACCCCTAAACCCTAAACCCTAAACCCCTAAACCTAAACCCTAATATGATTCTGATCATGGAAGGCAGAAGGCCTGTGGGGCCACCGCCCTCTGTCCGGCCATCCTTTCCACAACGTCTGTCCGAGCCCTTCTTTGGTGGGGGGGTTTAGGGTTTAGGGTTTAGGGCCTGGTCTTCTGGGTCTAAGACCCACAGGGTCCAAGTAGTAATATGGTAGCTACTTTGTAGGTATTTGGGACCCAAAAGTATATACTATACTAAAACTTGGATCCTTTGGGAGACAGAGACCGTGAGAACTGCAATGTCTTGGTGTTTGGGCGTTTCGAGGTGGTGCTCTACAAGTTATGCTTCTGATGCACCGTTGGGCGTTTGTGGCTTGTTCATAAAGTGTTCCCCTGCAGATTTAGGGTGTTGGGACATAGTGTCGGAGAACTACATCTCAGGCTAGTTTTATGCATGTCGATGCCGCTTCTATTTTATAGACCTGGGATAGCAGGACCCTCGCTCGGGAAGGGACCCAAATCCTGCACAGAAGCCGCGTAATTGCAGGGCCTCCTATGAGCGTGAGTTTAAGATGGGATGTTGAGGCAAGCCTACTATAGCAGCCTTATAATTACCTACACTATTTTTTTTTTGGGGGGGGGTTCCGTAATATCGTAATAGCATAATATACCCCAAAGCCATATTCTAACTATTAAGGCCCCATATATTACTTCAGCACAACCTTTTGCCCAGCAGGCGTGAATTCCAGGAAAATGCATCAGAGCAGTCATAAGTCGTGTTCGAGCCGAAGAGCAGCTGCTGCTGCTGCTGCTGCCACTATTAGTACTATTATTGTTATTATTAATATTTATTATTAGTATTACTAATATTACTATTCTTTTTATTGTTATTATTATTTAGTAGTAGCAGGTTTTACTGGCGTTCCCAACACAGCCAAAGCCCTGAACGGGCCCGGAAGCACAAACACCGTCCTGGGACAATGCGTTAAGGGTTTTCTGGCTTTCGCAAGGCATCCGAAGGCTGTGAAGGCTTGCAACAAGAAGCTACAAAAAACAGTAGGTTATACTAGCTTACGGTATCGCTTAGAGCCCTAAGTTGGGATCGCAATCCTGTTTCAACCTCAACCACCTTCAAACTCCTATCTCATCTTTTTGTCCTTAAAGTGCTCCTTTGGAACAGCGTAAGCACCTATGCCTGCTCCAGCCAAAGGTCCTGGTGGGCAGTTCCTAGCCCATCCACCGAACTCGGGCCGTTGCGTGGCAGCAAAAGCTCACCTGACAGTGTAAGGTTTTAGGGTTTTTCGTACAGCATTTCGGGTGCAGGGGTTTTGGGTTTGTCATGTGTAGTTTACTATTAGTTCGTAGAGTTACGCCGCAGTGTCCAAAACTAAACACCGGAAGTTTCCAAGACTGGACCTGGAGGAACTTATGTACTTTGGCATCAACGTGTCGTTTAACTGCCGCAGCATTCCAGGATTCCGTGCTGTTTCGCCAGTTCTCGCACAGTCTGTAGGCGAAAGATCGACTCTAGCACGATCCAGTCGTCATGGTCTACTACGACACAGGGTGTATAGAGTGTAGGGCATCTAGGAATTCAAGGCTTTTAGGTCAGGGTCTAGGGTTCAAGTTTCCAGTATTCCAATCGGGGCATGCAGTTCGGAATGAGTTCGACATTGTATCCTTCATTTGCTCGTGTATCATAAATCAAGGAAGTAGGATGCACAGGTGCAACGGCGCGCCGAGACTTGCATGCCACTAGCTCTTCAAGCCGCGAATCCGGAAAATGCGAAGCGAAAAGCTGTAAAACCTTGGAAACAAGCCGTAACTCCGAAGCCTCACAGCCCTAAGTCCCGAAACCCTCCAAGCCAAGACCGAAGCCATCAATCATTTGACGAACAAGCCGTGTTTTAGCTCCACCGGTTTCGTTGTCCTGAGGATTACATCTAGGGATGTGTTGAGCTTTGGTAGTTGAGTGGTGTTGAGCACTCTGAGCTTGCATGACCATTGTCTCAAACCTTAGATCTTGCTTTCCAATCAGCGAGTAGAGAGCACTGAGGGCTTATACTGAATCCAGGCAGCTGTTAGGATTTATGAGGCTTTAGGTTTAAAGTCTTCAAGACGTGAAATGTGAACCTTCAAAGCGGCAAAACGTGCTTGCCGTATCATGCCACAGATGCGTCCGCCCGCTACTTCGGGCTGTATGGTGTAGTTCATGGCAGCAGTAGCTTCCTGCAGAAGATAATAGAACCTTACGTGAATGTCATGAGCAAGTATGCTGAACCCCACATGGGGGTTTCCGCAAATAGGGGATCCCAATATAGTACCCTAAATAGTAGGATCCATATAATAAGGACGCCAAAAGAAGGTACCACTTTTTTCGGAAACTCCCACATATTTGAGAGTCTTCGCTTCTGGTTAGTGACTTCGGTCTGGAATCAAAATCGCAGGGCAGGCTGGGGCCGTTCAGGGTTCAGGGCTTAGAGATGACATGGGAGTTTCCGAAAATTAGGGGTACCATATTTTGGGGCCTTTATAATCAGGATCCTACTATTTAGAATGCTATATTAGGGTCCCCACCCCCACATTCGGGGCGTGCGGCCTAGCTTTTCGATCTTCCCGGGTTCAGAATAGGGGCTGAATAGTCACACTTCCTTGTCTCGGGCTCGTTGTTAAAAGGAAGATACAGTATAGTATAATATCTGCCTAAACCCTTGTAGTAGCAACCGTTTTAACCGAACCTTCTTCCAATTATTCAGGCCCCCACATTATTACCATTAAGCCCTCAATACTCGTGGACCGGCTTGGAGAGCTCCGTCCAAGGCTACTCGCCGGACATGCAGTCAGAAACGGCCTCCAGACAGCATTGCCCAGAGAACCCAATACCCCTTAATTAAGAAATATACCTGCAATCATAATATTAAGGCCCCTATAATTTAAGGTATATTCCTGAATTGAGGCGTGTTGGGTTTTCTGGGTGCCACCACTGCATTACACAGGCAGAGTGCCTGTCTCGCTCTCTCTCTCTCTCTCTCCCTTTGTCGCTCTTTCGCTCTTTTGGAGTGTGTCAGGGTTCAGCGTGACGGGTTCAGTGTCGAGGGTGTAGGATTTCTCCGGCCAGGTTTTATGGTATGTCGTGCGCAACGTCAATAGGTTTTTTGCCAAAATGAGTTGAGGGTTTAGGGCTTCAAGATCTTGGAGGTACGATAGTCCTTCGTCATATCAGGGTGGCTCTGGTGCAACAGCCACATGTTTAGGCACCGCCCCAATAAGCCAATAATGAATTCTTAGTAATGGAGTAGGTAACCTTGATTAGAACCGCTTTGGGCTACTATAGCCTCTGCCAAGTAAGACTTAGTTCGGGCGCTTAAAGCCTTCAATACGTCAATTAGACAGCGTGAAAGGAGAATGTCCAAGTCGTGGCCCAACCCTCGCGTGACTAGCCTGAAGGAAAGATTGCTTACTGCATCGCATACGAGATATCGCCCACACAGGGAACAGAAAGACATAGCATCGATTCTTGTTCGGTTACTTGAGCGTTTACCTTGCTCTCAAGCTTATTGTCCCTGCGACTTCAGTTCGCCGCCTTTAAAGAATCTGGCTATTTCGGGTTTAGATGGTGTTAGGGTTTGGGCTTAGGGTTAGGTTTAGGAGACATATCGGAAGCCAACGAGATTCCTCGGCTCTCCAGACAAACCAGTGTTCTGACCTGATGATCGCTGTCCGATCCACGCCCGACAGACATCAAGCGTCTCAACCCTAAGCCCCGAAATCCTCAAACCCTGAATTGCTTGTTTTTGAAGTCCTTGCTGCTAAGGTGGCGTCGTACTATTCCGCGACGCGCTTCAAGAAGCTCGACTTGGCTTCTCAGCTGGTTGTGTGCAGGTTTTTGGGGGGTTTCCGTATACGGGTTCCGCCCAGGGATTCAGAGTTCCCTGCAATAGGCTTCGCTTCGGGTTTGGGGTTTATAGGAATCAAGGGCCCTAAACCCTAAACCCTAAACCCTAAACCCTTTAAGGTTTCGGGTTTCAGGTCAAGGCTTTCGGGTTGTTGGAGGCCCCGGCTCGGGTGTCAGCCTGACTGCAAGACAGGGGCTATTGCTGACATGAGGGCTTAGCATAGACGATGCCAATCCCTAGGGCTCCAAGTATACTAATAGTACCTACTTTGGGGTCTAAAGTCTGTAAATAGTACCTACTTTTGGCTATTTGGAGCCCCAGGGAATGAGAGTGGCTTGTGGTCAACCCGCAAACGGAGCGCCGTTTGCACCGCAGGAACGAGCATGATTCGCATGCTGCTGTAAACTGTTCTGCTTCTTTGCCGTGCTTCGAAGTCAAACTGCCTGTAGTCTTCCAGCGAAATCACTCCGCTTCTCGACTGAGCCATGACGAAAGCGGAGCAGAAGAAGGCCGTGCAGTTCACCCGCATGTGCAAGTTCTGGCAGACGAACGAGTGCAAGATGGGGGCAGAGTGTACGTTTGCACACGAAACGACAGAGTTACGTCCCAGTCCCAAGCCGTGCTTTGACTTCGCGAAGAAGGGCATCTGCACTCGGGGTGATGCATGTAGGTTTGCGCACCAGCTTGGGCCAAAGGCGAAGGTCAAGGTCACGGGTCACGAGATGCCCAATGCAACCTTCCAGATGATCCCGCCTTACACTCCATCCCAGCTCCTTGCCGCCTACACGATGCCAATGCAGAGTCTCGATGCGCCCCGAAGGTTTGCTTTGAACTCTGCCGCAGCACCATGGTTTCCACGGGAATCGGATGACGTTTTGAACCAATTCCCTCAAGCACCACCCGGGCTGGATCAAATTCCCTTGCCCAAGAGCCTCATCGGTGGTACGGACGGCAAGGATGAGGCAGACTTGTGCTCCACGAGCTCGGGTGATTCCTCGCTGGGTTTCCAGGGAGGTCTTCAGAAACCTTGTTGGCTGTTGTTCGGTGAAACCATGTTTCTGTTGCGGTTCTCATTGCTTTTTGCAGGGCTTGCAAGACTAGCGAAGGTTTGGAACAGTTGCCCGTCTCCGGAATGAAAAGCATGGCGGCTGAAGAAATGATGTTTGCCACAGCGAGTTTGACATCTACAATGAGCCTGAGCGCAACGCCGTCGCAATTCAGGGAGGTTTATGGTGTGGAGAATTATGTTTGCTTGTCCGTGTGACTTGCTACCGCACCGGTCTCGTCTTCCGACCGAGCATGTAGTTAATGTAGACGCTTAGGGGAGCTTCAAGCAGGACTGTTGCAGCCAGGTTCATCACTAGCTTACTTGATCCTGCAGCTATTTCCAGCAAAAGCAGCTGTTCCACAACTAGCACCTCATGTTCTGAGCCACTCACTCAGTGACCCGCATTTGTAGCTACTGCGAATTGCACGATCAATCGTGTGACCCTTCACCCTAAGCTACCCTAACACCGAAACCCAAGATTCACAGCCAACTGAATGATGACAAGTTATGAAAGCAGTTGCAGCATCGCCTCAGAGCAGGTTAGTCAATTTGTCCACCTTGCCCCCATAGAGATACATTCCTTGTTTTGGTGTTGATGGTCGTGTTGGTAAGGTATCGTGGCTGAGCGATCCAATATCCCTCACATAGGTTTAGGGTGGTTCAAGCATTCCTAGAGTGCAGAGTGTGCAGCAACTAAGATAAGATAAAGCCTCGAAAGCCTAGGGCTCTATCATGAACCCGAAACCTTAAACCCTAAACCCTAAACCTTAAACCCTAAACCCCCTTGGGCCCACGGTGCTTCGGTTCGGGGTTCAAGAAGGCTCAGAGTTCGGTCGGCTGCGACTTGATCTCGTGGTACAGGAGGACAGCGTGCCGTAAACCTCTCTGACTGTATGTCCCAGCCTGGGCCTGAAATGATCGACTAATGCACCTAGCAACTATATAGTTCAAGTCTAGTAAGGTTGATGGTTTGGGTAGCAACTATATAGTTCTAGTAAGGTTTAGGGTTTAGGGGATTAGAGTTTAGGGTTTAGGGTGGAATCATTTCAACATGGTTTGCCTCATTGCCGAACTACCTGACATCGTGTCACCAGGGAAAACCATGGTCTGCTACCAGAGCATGGTTGCATCATCGTTAGTATGTATTTGCCATCGACATTCACATATAGCCAACAGGTAGTGTTGGTGAGATACTGATGATCACTGGGCGTTGTAGAGCTACTGCTAATGCTAGTGCGAGTGCTAAATGGTGATGATCATAGTCGTTGTAGCCGCAGGCTTAGTTGTAGTACTTGGCAGTATCAGTAGCAGTATCAGTAGCAGTAGCAGTAGTGGTAGCGGTAACGGTAGCGGTAGCGGTAGCAGTAGTAGTAGTAGTAGTAGTAGTAGTAGTAGTAGTAGTAGTAGTAGTCACTCACTCACTCACACTCGCAGCAGTGTCCGAAGTCTGCTCAGCGAAGAGGGCACGCTTTGCGCGGCAGCTGT